TCAACTTTGCAAGGCTGTACAACAAATATGAACAATGAGACGTGGTTTCACTTTGTGATGATTAAAAAAATGGTAAAACGCTTCGAAGTCGGTAGATAGTTAAACAAACGCCATTCAGGCTACTTCAAAGCAACCAGCCTCATAAATTTGGTAGCCAAAATGGCTTCCGCAAATAATTTGTTCGCCTTTCTTCTATCGAATTTTTCATGGTTGTCATTCCGTGCAGTAATTACAGGTAAAATGATAAAAAAAATCTAAAAAGGGGATTCACACGAATCAAAACAAGGTCATGGCATGTAGAGGAAAAGAAACAATGGGAATAACCAACTGCTAATGGCTTGTCCCCACGCCCTTATTTTTAATTGGTGTTTGCAAAGAAAAAACCTTACTTTGGGCACTTTGCTGTGGGAATTGTATTTCATTTCTTCAAGCCTTGCTGTAGATTAACACTGGATTTAGCAGGTCGGAAAGGTGATGTTTCTTCAGTCAAATTCCTCCTTTAATATAGCACCCATAATATGGCAAAGCCTGGAAATGTGGACTTATTAGCGGCCTCGCTTCATTAGACCAAGTTCAACGTTCGGACACAAATGTAGAGCCATTGGTAAGTCTGTTTTCAGGTCACTAGAAGACTTTTTACAATCAAGGTACATAACGGAATAATCAAGAGTGGATCATGAGGATACACGGAAATTTGATAAAAAGGCAAAAAACTGATGTCAGAACACAGGAATATGATCACTTCTGCGGACAACTTTATTAACAACGGTGAAGAATAGGCAAGTGGGATGGATACGAGGAGAGATCTACACAGTGCCAGGTTTTACATAGCATCCAATGAATGGGCTTGGAGTGAATGAAGTGAAATGAAATATGAAGTAGTGATGAACTATCTTAGCCTTGTGTGTTCTTTGAATGCCGATGTGGAATAGTAAGAGTTGGCAATAATTCCGTCTGGAATCATTTTACACGTTTAAGAGAAAATGTTGAACCAACTGAACATTGTTTAATGCAGTGTACACCAATAAATTGCAACACAACGCTACACCTTCCTTGAGTGTGCCTAGCGGGGAGGCAAATGTAGCGAATAACTTTGGCGGGGTACAAAATTCCGACTTATCCACTTTTATTAAAAACGTCTCACTACCACCTCCACTTTACAATCACTTCCACATAAGCAATTTTGGGACTCAATATAATTTTATATTCGATTATTAAGGGAGATACTAGTCTACTTCGATAACGAAGGCACCATGGCTCGCCTACTGTTGTCAAAGGCGTCAAAGACGATGCTGTGGATTTGATTGGGAACCAGAACACCAGGTTGGACAACTATTGGCTAATCGGCGATCGACCAATCAGTTTCACCCACCTCCGTGATTGGGCTCCGACTTAAAAACAGCAAACTGAGGCTGTCAAATAAAGATTTTTGATGGATTTATTTTGGTATTACAAAAATTGTGGAATGAAGTGCGGTAAAGTAATCTTCTGGAACGTTCGTCAGTGGGATGGAATGTGATAATAAACGATATCAAGTCATTTCAAAAACATGAAAGCCAAACAGCATGGCATCAGGTGAATCGACTCGTTTTTTTGCTCATAATGAAAAAATACTCACCGACAAAGAATTTGAAAGATTTGCGCATAAGTGGATTTTCCAGTGCGAATGCCCATTAGTATTTCTTCTGGTGAACCAGGTGTGACATTATCGAAGTTCATTTGATGCAGATCTTTGGTGCAGAGCCAGAGGAAGATTGCACGCACTCTCTCCAGATCAGAAGTGATGTTCCTGGCATAGATCAACTGCCAGATCAGTTGGTTAAAGCTGTTCTGCTCCTGATAGGACACGGCCATCGCATGTTCATCGACCTTCTGGAAAGCCTAAAAATGTAAGACGCCACACGATACTAAATGACGACCAAATCATGACCTGATTAAAACCGGCCTTTCGAGTTTTTACGGATATCTAAAACTCAGTGGCGCAAAGTTCATTGTTGCTACCAATGAATTGCCCAGCCGATCACTCTCTTTTTGGTCAACCCAGCTTAACTTACCAATCATAAACAGGCTATTTTCTAGTGGAACTTTGAGTGGAGAATTGAGTAGTGAAAAAAAGGAGTTGAGTTCGCAATGAAACAATCAAAGGAGTAAATAAAAGGAAACTTTTATTTGTTTTTGCTTCCAGATGCCAGACACTTCAGGACAACCCAGACATAAATTTTACAGCCTCATGTGCATTTCATTCAATTGCAACCATCAGCGCGAGAATTTGCATGCCTTTCTACAAAGATGGGGTCGTGACTCACAAGTATGTAAACCAATGGAAGTGCTTAAAACTCCTGTAAACTTTTGGCGATCTTATGGAAACTATGACGACCTACGTGAGTCAGCAACTTAAATCGAGTTCTGGGTAAATATGGCTTTCTAAAAAGGTAGACTTCATCAAAGGGAGATACTAACATATTTTGTGCTTTCAAAACCAGACTAAAGGAATCTGATCACTAAAAAAAATTCCAGTGCAAATATCTCATACTCCTTGCAAAAAAACAACTCTTCATTCTTTGCTAATTTATAGCATAATGCTTCCCAACCAGTTCACTTGCTTTTTCTCATCACAATGACTTCCTGTGGTGTTTTGAGTCAACCACTTATAGCAATAGTCAATGTAAGACAGATAATCCGACCCCACCAGGCGTAGGAGAGACAGAAAAGTACTGCTGATTCAATCACTCAGCAATGCCCACG